TGTCTGTCTGTCTGTGTCTGTGTATACTGTACCTTCATGTTTTCCTCTGTGTGTGTCATATCTTCTCCTGTGTTGCCTCACTGATCCAGCACCCATGACAGCAGAGCCCAGCGCCTGCGGTTCACACCTCTTCCAGTGCCAGAGCGTCTTCCAGTGCATTCCGCGGAGCTGGCTGTGCGACGGCGAGCAGGACTGTGCTGACCGCTCCGACGAGGAGGGCTGCCCCCCACGCGTGCCCGGCACTGTGCCCCCTCAGGAGCTGTGTGGCCCGGGGCAGTTCCAGTGTGCCGACGGGGGGTGTATCCCCAGCCTGCTGCGCTGCGACTGGGTCCCAGACTGCCGCCACGGGGAGGACGAGTTCAGCTGCCGTAAGTCCCCTGGGAGGATCCATCTGTGCATGCAGGGCATGTTTTCTCCTGCAGGGGGCGCTATAACTCTGACTCAAACCTGTACTGTCTCAGGAGTCTCAAACTGCCCTCCACGTGCTTCCTGTCTGCCTCTCCTCCCCCCCCACCTTGTTCCAGAAGCTTCCACTATTCCTTCCGCCCCTTACCCCTCCCTTGAGCCACCATCATAAATGATAAAATGCCATAAAACACAAGTTACATTATTTTCGGCTCTGCTGGAGGTTTTTCCATGAATGCTATAAAAGTATTTCTTATTTCCGGCCTGTGAATGCTCCCTTCCTAATCAAGCCTGCAGTGGTACCGCTAGGGTGGGGAAGGCTGCTAGGGGGGGGGAAGGCCGCTAGAGGGGGGGAAGCCCGCGGGGGTTTGCTGCTCCGGTAATGAGCCCGACTTCAGGCCTCTGGCCCTGATCGCAGCTTGCTGGCATCTCTTCGGAAAGCTGCCTCGTTACCTGGTTCCGGGCTGCTAACACCAGCAGACCCAGGTTATCACGCTTAAGCCCCCCCCTATGCAAGGGGCTGGATCTCAGCCGTGGCAGGCAACCTTCGTGGGGGCGGGGCCTGTATGGACGGCCACAGGGATGGCAGCTTTCCCACGCTCACGCTGAACCACTCTCCTTCTCGTTACTCCTCAGGAGCACGTCTGTCTTCTACAGATAGTAGTATTCCGCACAAACATTGAATGTACTGTATATAATTTTGCATTATTTTCACCATAGTCCTAGGGATGATCTGATAAACTAGGTGCTTTAATCTCAGTCCAGCTACAGTATACATATTATTTATTGTTACATTTGTTAATGTTATGTTTATTTTGGATTTTATTTTATTTAATGTCTTTACTTCTCCTTATTATATCTTTTTCTACTTACATTATACTGTATTGCATTATTTCTGTGCTACTGGACAGAAATTTCCAAGCATAGGGATCAATAAAGTTCCATATCTTATCTAGATCCAGCCCACCTCCCCCCAGTGTAGTAACAGTCTGTGACCAACAGGGGGCGCCCTGGGGTCCCACGCAAATGTAAGGTTCGCAGTAATGTGGCGTTTGTGAACCATCTGATTCCTTCGAACGACTCCTTGGTACGAGCGAAGGGAACCGACTCATGCTTCAGACCTGTTCCTTTTGTCATTGCATCCTAATTTCAGTGCTTGCCCCGAATCCGCTCCACTTCCCTTTTACGTGAGCAGAGAGAACCAGCCAGTCACAAGCGAGAGGCGTCATCGCATTAAGTTCCTTTAAGACAGATTGAGCAGAATTTTTCGGTTACTGTTTGTAAGCACACTTCAAACTTAATTTACATGACACATTTCCTATGGGGGGTAAATTCGAAGTAGTATATTCACTTACAAAGCAGGGGTGTCACTTTGTATAATGTTTACAGTGTAGATCATTGACATTAGGTCTGGCAATATGAGTAATTTAGTGCCTCTAAACATAGTCCACGCATAATAAAATTATATTGGTGAGACACACCCACTTTGTGCTGTGTGACACA